CCTTTTTTTTTTTTTTTGCAGTACTGCAGATTAAACTCAGGACTTTGCTCTTGTAAGGCAGGTGTGGTGCCACTGAGCTAAATCCCTAGCCCAAAGAACCCATATTTTATAAACACAATAAAGGGATTGGGTGATAGATTCCAGTTTCCATTTGAATAATTATATTTTAGGAATAAGTATTTTATACTAAAGACATCAAATATGTATAAATGTATTTGTTGTGAGGTGCTTTATCAAGACATCCTTATAATGTTGAGCAAACAGATATTTTGTACCATCTCTAAAATATATATTTTCCTTTTGTCTTTTTCTTATGTTAGAATCTGAATTACCCAGAACAGAAAGTTGTGACTGTGGGACAGTTCAAAATTGGTCTAATCCATGGACATCAAGTTATTCCGTGGGGAGATATGGCCAGCTTAGCCCTGTTGCAGAGGCAGTTTGACGTGGACATTCTTATCTCAGGACATACACACAAATTTGAAGCATTTGAACATGAAAATAAATTCTACATTAATCCAGGTTCTGCCACTGGGGCATATAACGCCTTGGAAACGTAAGTAGTGTACAATTTAGGAATTTGGGGGATTTGGTAAGGTTAGTAACTGCATGGGTAACATCTCATAAAAGAGAAATGTAACCTTTTAAATAATTCTGTACTTTATGGTAATCTTTTGTTAATTGTTCTTTTTAAAATGTAAGTAGTCAGATTTTTCCTTGAGTCCATATTATTATCTTCAGTAGAAATTTATAGTGCTTATGCTTTTTAGTATAAATGATTTTTTTTTCCTTTCCAGAAATATTATTCCGTCATTTGTGTTGATGGATATCCAAGCTTCTACAGTGGTCACTTATGTCTATCAGCTAATTGGAGATGACGTGAAAGTAGAACGAATTGAATACAAAAAATCTTAAAGCCAGGCCTGTCTTCATGATTGTGTTTGTTCTTCATTCCCTTGTTCAAGTAATTAAACATTTAAGAGCCACACAACTGTATCGTTTATAATAGTTTGCAGTAAAATACATCTTCTCTGTTAGTACATATTGCTCTATGCTTCTTGTAAACTATAAGAATATATTTAGTTTACATTATAGTATATGGCTTATGAAAAAACTCACCACACAGTAAATGGTCACATGTTAAGAAAAATTTATCCTTATACTATAGTAGCTTCAAAGTTGGTATTTGGACTTTATTACAAAATAATGCATGAAGAGAAAGAATCTAGACTTTCTGTATACATTTTTCTCTTCTCCAATACTAAATGTTTACCTTTCATTTATAATTTCTTGATAATGTGTGTTTAATTTTTAAAAACAAAAATTTAGAGACCAGATGAAACTGTGTGGATATAAGTATTAAAGTGAAATTGATGAGATGACCTTTCAGAGCTCTCTTTTCTGTGTCATAATGTTAACCTCACATTTTCTAGGTAATATACCATATTGACATGTTAAAATAGCAGTGGTTCTTCATACTGTCGCTACTCCCATTTTTCAAGGTTTAACAAAATACTTTTTAAACCATAAGTTTGGCGTACTGGAGTGAATAAAGAATCTTCTCATTGCCAAGTGTGGAGGCTCACACTTGTAATCTAGGCTACTTGGAGGTTGAGATAGGAAGATCAGAAGTTTGAGTTCAGCCTAGTGAGACCCTATTTCTAAATAAAATAGAGCTAAAGATATTAGGGAAGTTATAGAGTAACATGAGTTCGATCTCCAGTAACACCAAAAAAATCCTCTCATCAGTGCAGCTATTCTCAACTGAATCTAGTTTGAGTGACAATTTTTATGAGGCACATTTGTTTGTTTGTTACATGACTATGGAATAAACCCAGAACTTTTTAATTATTTAATTAAAAAAATTTTTTTGAGTTAGATTCTTCCTGAGTTGCCAGGCTGCACTCAAACTTGCCATTCTCTTGCCTCAGCCTCCCAGAGTTCTGGGATGACAGTAATGTGCCACCACTTTTGACTTGTTTTACATTTCTAAATTATATTCAAGTAGCAAATATTTATTGAACACCTTCTTTGCAAGTCATGATGTTATTACTATCAAATGCTATTCTGTATCTATAGTTCAGCCTAATCAAGAAAATACTTGTAGAATATTCTAATGTTGCCATATTAGCATTTATTGTAAACAGAAAGAACTATACAACGCATTTGTCAGATTTAAAGAAAAATAATTCAACTTTAAGTGACAAGAAAAACTAATTTACCTAGACAGAAATACAAGCATACATTACACATAAATTCTGTTACACAAATGGCACTGGTACATAAACTATATCAGACCAATTACAATTGTGAAAGTTTCTGAACAAACCAAATAGATGACTACTTAATGATGAATAACACTATCCTACACACAGGGCACAATTTACGACCCCTTTGGCATGATATCTGGATATCAGCTGCTGTTTGAAATCAGTAACAAGACTTATCAGGTTAACATTAGATGTTCTCCCTGTTCTTCAATGGACATTGATTGCATACATTTATTTAACTGATCATCTTCCTTTTTTTCTTCATTCATGTATGATCCAGAATCATTTGAAGAAACTGAAGGAAAAGTAGTTTGTCAGTTTTGAAAATAAAATTTGAAATACAACTTACAAAATGACCTGACTATGCCTTTAGCAAAGACAAACTGCCCTTGGTTTTCAGCTTTTAGTCACCTCTGCTTGACCCAAATCAGTTACTCTTTAAATTAAGTTTCTTAGAATTATATTCTCTTTTTTTTTGGTAACTGGGATCGAACTCAGGACTTGGCATTTTCAAGGCAGGTAGCAGCACCACTGAGCTAAATCCCTGGCCCCATAGATTTATATTCTAATCAAGGGTCTGTTTAACAAATTCTCTGAGTATTATATTCCTATAGATTTTCTAAATCTTTTGGTTGGATGTTAAAATGGTTAGTCATAGCCTTCAGTGTCTCTCCACTGTTCTTTAGTTCCTTCTCTTGAGGGCCATAATGACTTTTCCCCTATCTGTCTAGGTTTTCTGTATGTACGTATTCTCTGGAAACCACTTTCTCCCATACATTTTCCCTCCTTCCTTGGATAGGCACAGTATAAATACTGGCATCAGAGCTTGGTGACACTGTCACTGACTGATGTAATGTCAATTCAGTGGCCTAACTTCCCCCTATTCTTTGCCACTATCATGGTGACTAGGAAATTATTCAACTTCCACATAATCCTATGCCCTTTCTAATTCTGAGAAATACTTTTGATTCTTCAGTCTTCCTGTTTTGCCTTTTTAATTTTGTACTATTTTATAGTTGTGACAGAAGGATCCTTTATGCAGTCCTTCCAAAGTCTGGATTTCTCAGTTTTCATCTGTAAAATGTTGATAATCACCTGCTTGGCTTGCGTCTGCTGGTTTGTTGAATATCAAACAAAACTGTGTAAGTGATATTGCCCTTTGTAAAGTACGAGATGCTGTACAAAAGGCTGAGCATCCAAAAATGGCAGTAACTCATAAAAAGAGTGATGACTTGAAAAGGTTATGTTCATGGATCTGGGTTCTGATGGATTCATTCTCTGTGAAGTCTTTGACCTTGATACTGTAAATTTCTTTGCTTAGAATTAGAAATATCTTGAAAGGCTGGGAATAGAGCACCTATCATTTAGCATGTGTAAAGTCCTGGGTTTGAGCCCTAGCTCCACTAAAAGGAGAAAAAGAAATGCCTTGAATCTCACCTCCATGAGCAGTATGTTTTGGGTTTTTTTGTTTGTTCATTTGGTTTTGTTTTAGACAGCGTCTTCCTATATAGTTGAGGCTGCCTTGAGCGCACTATGTAGCTCAGGTCAGCCTTGAACTCTCGGACATCCTTCTGCCTCAGTATCCTGGGTGCTAGGATTCCAGGCATGTGCTACCACACCTAGCAAAGCAGTATGTTCTTGCAAATGAAAGGATAATCTGTTTCATGTTTAGCATTTTTATCTGAAACAGTCAGATCACATTCTAAAACTTTTAATGTCTTCAAAATGAAACTGTTTGGTTTAGTAATTCTTAAAGGTGGGTCAGGGATTTAGCTAATGGCACTGTGCCTGCCTCACAAGCGCAAGATCCTGAGTTTGATACCTAGTACCAAAAAAAACCAATAATAATTCTTAAAGATAGTATCTTCAAAAATGCATGTGTATACCTTTAAATTTCATATTTACCTGATTGCATGAACAGTTTACTCGGTCTTCTAAAAATCTTCAGTGACTTACATCTTATTTTAGATGCATATCCAGTTTTTAACCTGTAATAAGGAGATATCTTAGTTGTAGCCAACATGAACAGCTGCCTAATGGTGTGGAAGACTACACAAATTCTTTTTTTTGGGGGGGGTACTAGGAATTGAACTCAGAGCCTCATGCTTGCCAGACAGACACTATGCTGCTGAGCTATGTCCCTGGCCCACAAATTCTTTTTTTTTTTTTTGGTACTGGGGATCAAACTCAGGATGGCAGAACCACTGAGCTAAATCCCTGGCCCCAGAAATTCTTTTTCTTAGCTTCTGGAATTACAGGAGACCATTTCAGCCCCCAAATTCTCCTATGATTTATTAACTTGGCAATGCAAAACTATTATAGCACAATTTGAATACTAAGGCCTCTTTCCTTTGTTGCCTTATGTTAATTCCCCTATGGAGAAGCAACTTTATATTTCTCCTTTTAGAATTATTTGCATTATTTTGAATTTGAAGGGATCATATTAAAGAGGCAGTCTATATTTCTAGTTAATCAAGCAGTTTTTACATTTCCACAAAATACGTTGTAAAAGTGGCACATCTCATTCAGCTCAGTGAAGTGAAACTAAGATCCTTTTGTGCTTTTTGTCCATCCTATTCTGAGTTCAGTAAAAGTGAACATTTTTTTTTTTTGGTACCAGGGATTGAACTTGGGTCTTTACACTTGTGAGACAAGCAGCAGAACCACTGAGCTAAATCCCCAGTCCTGTAAAAGTGAACATATTAAGGAATACAAATTTTAATATCACTTTGCTAACCTCTAGATAAAATTGGGCAAATTTCCTCCTTAAGTCCTAAGAAACAGGCTGGGCATGGTGGTGCCTGCCTTTAATCTCAGCACTCCGGAGGTAGAGACAGGATTGTGAGTTCAAGGCCAGACTAGGCTGCAGAGTGAGACCGTAGCTCAAGAACCAAATAGCCAGGCACAGTGGTGCATGCCTTTAACCACAGCAGGAAGATCACAAGTTTGAGCCCAGCCTGGACAACTGAGTGACATAGTGAGACCCTGTCTCAAAATTTAAAAAGGACTAGGGATTTAGTTCAGTGTGGGAAAGCCCTGAGTTCATTCCCCAGTGGTGAAAAAAATAAGCCACAACAAACAAATAAGAAACAGACCCTTCTTTGTTTCTCACTGGCTGCCAAAGAGAATGCTGAATGATCATTTCAGATGCAGATGCAGATGCAGCTGCGCTGCTAGAAGAGTCCTCTCTTTCCCGCTGGTGTCGCCATGTAGTGCATGGGTAATGCTGCTTCTGTGAGTAACGAGAGCTGAGGCGACTCCTGTGATGAATGAGGACACCTGCCATACAAATCACTTGTTAGAAGACTCACTGCATGTGAAAAACAGGGAGAAGCTAACTGGAGGTCACCTGCCTGGCTTTAGTGAGCTGCGTTGAATCACATTCATGTACTGTCCCTTCATTAATGTCCTCAGGTAGTTTGCATTATAGATCTTAGCGATGCTGCACAGATAACGCTTCTGGCCCTTGGTGAGATCTGGATGCTAAAAGACAGAATAAGGGCCGGAGATTTAGCTCAGCGGTTCCAGCACCTGCCTTGCAAGCACAAGGTCCCAAGTTCTATCCCCAGTACTAAAAAAAACAAATTTTTTTTGCTGGGCGTGGTGGCGCACACCTGTAATCCCAGCACTCAGAAGGCTGAGGCAGGAGGATTGCTGTGAGTTCAAGACCAGCCTGGAGTACATTGTGAGTCCCAGGTCAATCTCAACTACATAGTGAGACCCTGTCTCAAAATAACCAAAAAAAAGAAAAAGGCAGAATAAGAGGATTTGTAGTCTGTGTTGGGGAACAGAAGTAGCAACCTTCCTTATCCGAAAAGATGGATGTTCAGGAGAGCAGTACCATCTGTACCTTTTACTTAAGCAAATTCAACTATGATAACTTTGCCCAAAGAGAGAAAAATAGCCATTTAAAGACAGCAAGTGAGCTATGTACAGTGGCACACACCTGTAATTATAGCTACTCAGGAGGTTGAGACAGGAGGATCACAAGTTTGAGCCCAGCCTGGGAAACTCAAGACTCTTTCTCAAATATGTGAAAAGGGCTGAGACTATAGCACTTGGCTAGCATGTGTGAGGCCCAACATTCAATCCCCCAAACTCCACTGCCAGGGGAGATGAAAAAAAAGTACAAAAGTTATTTTGCCATTGTACTCAAGTGTCCTATGAGCTTTAAGAACCCACAACCCTAGAGGAACAAGGAAGGAGTAATCTACTGTAACAGCAAATTTTAGTTCCCATGTGCCTCAGTGGGGGCATCTTGCATTCTTAATGTGATCTCAGAGGTATAACATGGTACCTAAAACCCAATTACTCTACTTATTCTCAAATAAAGAAACAGTCTTTTCCAGAAGAATATCTGTGTAGGATATAGGCCATAACATGTTGGTCACCAATCTAAGTAATTTTGATCAGTGTACTTTCTGATGTTGAAGTTACTGTTGAAGATGTGAGACTATGATATATGCATATGTTTATACACATAGGATTTACTGTACTGAATCAGTAACAAATCCAGATAAAAATAAAAATGTTCAGAAAATTTTACCAGTGTACACAAATCATTATTCACATATTAACATTGCTCTAGAGATATACTTTTAACAGCTGTAATATTTTTATTCGTGTGGCCTTTTTTTTGGCTGAGACAGGATCTTGCTGTATAATCCAGGCTCACCTTGAACTTACTATGTAACCCAGGTTAGCTTCAAACTGATGGCAATCCTCTTGCCTCAGCCTCCCAAGTGCTAGGATTACAGGTGTGTACCACCATGCCCAGCTGCAAATATGATCTTTTAACTTTATTGCCATGGCTGGTCCTGAACAGATGGGCTCAATGAATCCTGCTTTAGCCTTCTAAGTAACTGGGACTACAGGCACAAACCACTTTACTTGTTTCCCACAACTATGATCTTTAGTATAAGTCAACAACTGCAAGATCCTATTGCCATTTTCTTTACCTGCTTTCATCTAATTTTGTAGTTCTTAAAATGTTGTGGTTGAGTTTTCAACACTAGAATAAAATTTCCTTAATATCTTTGTAGTTGGAGCCTTGAGCTTCTTGAGTAAAAATACATTAAATATGAAGTATTATAAAGCTCTAAAAGAATTCTTATGATGGGGAACCTATAATCCTTGCATTTATTCGTGAGTTTTCCCAACTGGTATTTATTGACTTCTAGGTAGTATGCTGGGTAAAAATTTGTGATCATCAGTGCCTTAATCTCTACTTAAGTAGTTTAGTAAAAAGTTCAGCTCTAGGGCTGGGAGATTTAGCTCAGTGGTTCTGCCGCCTGCCTTACAAGTGCAAGGTCCTGAGTTTGATCCCTGGTAAAAAAAAAGTTAAGCTCTAAATTTTAAGGATTTTTTTTTTTTGACAGGGTCTCAATGTAGCCCAGGCTGGGCTTAAACTCATGGCAATCCTCCTGCCTCAGCCTCCAAAGTGCTAGGATTATAGGAATGTGCCACCATCCCTGGTAAGAATAATGTTATTTAAATTTTTCCTTGGAAATTAGAATATAACTCTGGTAGAGTCTTTGCCTAATAAGCACAAGACCCTAGTGCATGTGCTCGCGTGCTCGCTCTCTCTCTCTCTCTCTCTCTCTCTCTCTCTCTCTCTCTCTCTCTCTCAGACACACACAAATTCCCTGCTGGCATACCTTTAGAAAGGATGCACCCATCATTGATTTAGAGATGTGAATTGTTTGAATTTGAGGAGTTTTCCATACCTCTTGCAGCTTAGCTATGTGTGAGTTCACTTTGTGTCCATCTTTGATTCTATCTGTAAGCAAGCATATTATTGTGAATTTCAGAGGCAAAGATAAGTTCAAGAAGTTTAATCAATAATATCTAGATATTTACACTGTATCAACCATTATCCTGGAATGGTGATAAGGATTTTAAATCAGATGGTAAACTGGAAGAGACTGTATGGCATGCTCTTTGGTTGTAGAGCACACAAACATCTTGACTAGACACATCTCCAAAGAAGATACAGAAATAGCCAATAAGCACATAAGATGCACAGTATTACTTATTACTAGGAATACACATTTTTTAAAAAATGAGATACCCATAGGGCCAGGGATTTAGCTCAGTGGTTCCACTGCCTGCCTTGCAGGCACACGGACCCGAGTTCAAGCTCCAGTACTTAAAAAAAAAAAAAGAGAGAGAGAGAGAGAGCGCTACCCATCACTTCTCAGCCTTTTGGCCAAGATCAAGTGTAAAAAATGAGATACCCATTAGGATAGCTGTCACAAAGGGGTGGAGGGAAAGTGTGTTGGTTAGGATTTGGAGAAACTAGATAAAACTAATGGATGAAAGTTGGAGGAATTACAATACATACATGGTTTCAAAATATAACCTTGTCAGCTGGGGATTTGGCTCATTAGTTCTGCTGCCTGCTTTGCAAGCGCAGGGACCTGAGTTTGATCCCCAGGTCCCCCTGCAAAAAAACAAACAAACAAACAAACAAAATATAACCTTGTCAAGCACAAGGTCCTCAGTTCGATCCCTGGTACCAAAAAAAAAAAAAAAAAAGACTAAAATTACAAAAATGCACATGAATCAAGTTTTAATATACTGTCCATTGTACCATTTCTTTCTTTGGGTTCTGAGGTAAAGTTTGGCAGTGCAAGAACTCTGTAACATTAGCAAATTCAATGAAAATATGATTCCAGAATATACCTTTACAATGGTTAAAATAGTAATTTTATAATGGATAAAGGCTGCCTGATATCAGCTGGAGCAAATGATCAAAATGTTTACTGACTGATCCAGAGCAGGTGTCAGGACAAATTCAGTACCACGGAACTGTTATGACCTGAATCTTCTCAAGAGGAACCAACCATCAAACAAACTCATATTGAGGTAAAACCTACAGAACTGGCCTGTGTTCTTCATAAATGTCAATGTCATGAAACACAAACACTTAGGAACTGTTCCAGATGGAAAAGCTAAGAAATATGACAACTGAATACCTTGCATGAACTCAGATTTGGGGGAAGGGATGTCATTACTGGAATAGTCAAAAGTTTTTTACTTTGATGATTATTTCATGAAATTGCAAACATAGTTTTTTTCTGTGGTACTGAGGAATGGACCCAGGGCCTTTGCGTTGAGCTACATCCCCATCCCTTTCTAAAAAATTTTCAGGGCCAGGGATTTAGCTCAGTGGCTTTGTGACTGCCTTGCAAGCACAATGTCCTGAGTTCAATCCCTATTACA